TAGAAAGTTTTCTGCGGGCGCCCATGGTTGTGGATGACAGATTTTTCCTCATCAACACACACTGAAGAGGCACATGGTTACGTTTCGGACTCTTGTCGACTCCTGTATAATGTATACGACTCCAGTGTAACACTCCGCCCTAAGCACGGGGTCGACTTGATCTCGTAATCGACTTCCATTGTTGTCTTTCACTTGGCATTTTCTAAGGTGAACGTGACAGGTCATGATATAATTGTTTATAATTAATAACCTTTTAAATTTAAAAAAAAATATCTTTATTAACAATTTACTTAAAATTCATTTTTAAAACGTCAACAGTTGTAGTTCAATAAATAAACTGTACCGGGTGGTCAATTTTTCTGTTCAATTTTAAAATTTGTTAATTTTTATTGTTATTTTTACTTTTTGATGGAGGGGGGGGGGGTTTGCGAGACTTAGTAAAACAATTTAAAGGTGTGTGGGGGGGGGGGGAATACGCAGGGTTGCGCAGACCACAGAATAGGTTAGAATAGACCTTTTTAAAAGATAAGCTATAGGCGTTGAATCTTCTAAAATAATGTTCAAGCGTAGACTACTCTAAATAAGCTCACATTTTAAACAAAACCAACAACACTCAACAACACCCCCCCCCCACTTCCACATGTATTACCATTGACAACATTGTGGCCATTGATGCGTTGTCTGTATAGAGTTATCTGTAATCTAGTACCACAATGCTTATGAGCAAAGTTGGCTTAAAGCCATCCATAAATGACGTCACGCCGGGAGAGAGGCGGGAGGGGGGAAAAAAAAGACAAAATTTGAGAGTAGGGGGGTGGGTGGTAAAAAAATTGGTTAAAACAGTGTGGCGTTATATATGGATGGGCCCCTTCTTAGACACACTTAAGACGACTTAGGGGAGATAAATCCTTCTCGAGCTGCAAACGATAAACATGTAAGGATGTCTCCGGATTATCGACCGCCGTTTCCCAACGTTGGTCAGCACTAAATAGGGCAGCGCCCCCAGACCCCCCCCCCCCCCCCCCCGGCCAAATTCATAGACTCCATTCTTCAACACTACCGTCCCCTGAATTTGCACATACTTTGTGGGTGGTGGGTGGAGATTGAATGTCCGTTGAGCTTCTCATTGGTTATGAACTGATAGAGGCGTGGTCAGTCATGTGCCTTGGAGCAGCGTTTTAGCTCATGTCTGTCCAGTTTATTCCCGTCGGAATCCCGGAAAGCTTCGTCTGAAACTTGACCAAGTCGGGAGAAAGTTTTGAGTTCAAGTCCGGCTTTGTTTTCTCTCTCTGTGATATTTTTTCTCGAACTTGCGACCGATCCTCTGGCTGGAAGACACGAGACAACCATTAAATGGAGCAGGGTACTGAATACAATAGAGGTGAGTGCTTCCTTTTGTTTTCTCATTAATTTCAAAATCCCTACATACTTTTAACTATGCAACCAGTGATACCAGTATTTAAACCTCTATTAAAAGAAGCTGGTGCAACACAAAAAGCGTGCGTTTATTTTCGCTACTCAATGTGACAATGATTTCGCGCCTTGCGTTTACGCTAACTATTCTAACCAACAAATACTTCAAGACGAATAACTATCGATGCGTTTTCTTGGTTTAGAACAGCGGTTCTCAACCTTTCTAATGTCGCGACCCTTTAATACAGTTCCTCATGTTGTGGCGACCCCCAACCACAAAATTATTTTCGTTGATACTTCATAACTGTAGAGTATATTTATTTTCAGATGGTCTTAGGCGACCCCTGTGAAAGGGTCGTGCGACCCCCAAAGAAAGGGGTCGCGACCCACAAGTTGAGAACCGCTGGTTTAGAACGATTGCGGGACAACTGTGAAAGATTGCCCCCCATTCTCATCATTCATCTCTTTTTTTTTTTTTTTTGCTATTGTTTTGCTCATGATCCGTCAAAACTTTCGGATCAATAGGATTATACTTCGGCTTTTACTTTACTACAATATAAAATACCATAAAAAAAAAAAATAACCCTAAAAAAAAAGGATTAATAATTGAACATCTTTTTTGTCCCTGATCACTGATGAAGTTAATTGGAACATACCTTTTTAAAATTTAAAAAAAAATGAATTAGGATTTAAATTACAACCTTAAAGTTTTCAATTAATCGATTGTGATTATGGTGTCCGACACCCCCTCCCCAACCCCCCTGCCCTTTAAAATCAGCTCAACATCCAATTTCTCTACTTCGAAACATTACAGTATTTGCAGAGGCGGCACGCAGTAAAGTTTCATTCATTTTTTTTTTTTTTTTTNTTTTTTTTTTTGAAAAGCATTCAATTTTGTTTTTAGAATTATCACTAGGCATTAAAATATTTTTATAAACAAATTTATAAAACAACTTAAAAAAAAAAAAAAAAGAAAAAGACTTAGGGTGAAGCGAAATTGCCCCACTACCAGGACCGGATTGCCCCACTACCAGGACCGGATTACCTACGATACAATCAAGTTTAGAGCCCCATAATCTGCTGGCTATATATTTTAAAATATTCTTTTACCAGCTGGTATAATTTTTAAAAAGGTAGGGATCTCCGGACTTTGTATAGCTTAGGGCCTCAGCAAGTATCTAGGCACAGGCCACGCCTCCACTGAGTTAAGACATGTAAATATCCTAGTTGCATTATGGTAATACATTGGCACTCATACCAGCTGTGAGCGGAACTCGCGCAAGCAAAGGGTTGGGGAAAGCATCTTCGGGTGGTGCCACAATGGTAATTTTTCATGCATATATGACAACTTTCGATCGCAGGGGTTACCGAAACGACATTGGCATTGGTATATGTACATTTCACACTTTTTCCATAACATATACAATCCCAGCACATGTCACATGGTAAAGACAAATAATACGTTTCATACGATGATAAAAAATTACATAAATTGTCCCCTCCCCCCCCACCCCATACCTTTGCACTCAAACTTCAATAATAAGTGGTTCAAAGGATTTTGTTTTAAAAAGATACATGTGCAAAATAAAAAATGCCACAGAGAATTGAAAAAAATATGTTCTAAAATATGCTGTAAAATGTGTCCTAAAATATGTTCTAAAATATGCTGTAAAATGTGTCCTAAAATATGTTCTAAAATATGCTGTAAAATGTGTCCTAAAATATGTTCTAAAATGTGTCCTAAGATAGCTCTAAAATGTGTTATTTAAAGTCTCGAAACATCAAAGATTGTATCTAAAACATCTAACATCTATCTATTAGATGCTGTTGTTGTTTAACATCCAGACGTAGCCCAATCATACAGCTCTAGATGTTAAGCGAATAGCATCTAAAAATGGCAACACTCTCTCGCAAGACACAAACTTGGTTGAAAGCTCATTTGCAAACAATCACATCTCTCTATAGAACTTTTAATAAAATGGGTTGAGCCCTTGAAGTACAAGCTTATCGAGGCAAGCCGACCCAGCCCTATGGACTATGGACAAAGATGATTGGGGGTGTAAGACCAACAATCACAGCTGCGGTAAAATGTTGTCTCTCCATAAAGAAGTCGCCCGGACATCCACCTGAGCTTTTTATCTTTAGTTTCAACATTGCCACGATACACCACACCTTACTTCGATTGGGTTGTGCCCCTTGTTTTTGTTGAACAAAAGATTCCATTGAAAAAGCTGCGGACCCGCTGGGGGTGGGGGGGGGGGGTTGTAGAGAGTCTGAGCCGTTGACAAAGGGTGTGATTGGGTTGTGCCCCTTGTTTTTGTTGAACAAAAGATTCCATTGAAAA